CAATCTTAACATTGCGACTTAGATGTGTCATCCCCCTAGTGTTGGCTGAAGGAAAGTTAAGGTTGATTTTAATTTGAATTTTTAACAATTATTTCTAATCTAATCTGATCTAATCTAATCTAACACCAACACAGCCAGTTCATGGAAGCATCCTGGAAAATGATAGATATACCTCCATCCTTTTTCTTGTCTATTTGGTATATTTTGTACATCAGAGATGCGCAAAATAAATCAAAACGGCCAGGCCTACTGTGCAGCATTTAAGGGGCATGATGATTCAGAAACATCGGGCCTGTTTAAATCAAAGATTTAAACACGATGCTTCAGAATCCAATAAATGGATGAAACGTGGACATTTCGTACCGCACGTTCCGTTAATATAAATGATTGGTCGTTGGGAGCATCTAATCTAAAAAAGATAAATGATGCTCCATTTTCCTCGAGTGGTTGGGACTTGAGCACTAAATCTTGTCTTAGCCCTATATAGCTTATGGTTATAGCGCCATTACTCGCTTCTGAAAATAGAAAAATGGAATAGAAGGCCATAGGAGAAAGGAAAAAGAGGAAGGAACCCTAGTTCTATCTTCCCTTGTGTAAAAACTGAAAAAAACGGGTCTCTAATCAATCTACAGGAAAAGTTCGCTAAGACTCACAATGACTAGTGAACTTTTCCTTATTGTGTGTTTCATAAAACCTCGCATAATTTTCCAACGCTGAACACGAACAGGTCAGAGATAGATTTCAGTAGATATTACTCTCTACGAAAATATATTATAAATTTAAGAGCATATAAATGAAAATAAACGGTAAGATCTCAGCCAGTTTCATTAATTTTGTACTCTTACTGGCCTGCTGCACTACTGTTGAACCAAAGGCACTTCCAAGACTTTTCCGGGTTATTTCCAAAATAATCAAAAATTCTTCAGGCAAATCATGATCACAAAAATTAAACGTCTAATACTAGAAAAAAGCACTAGGGCGACTCTCTTGCCAAATGAACCAATTGGCAAATCTATGTAGGAACTTGGCCATACCCACTCGTTCCCAACCTTTGACAATAGCGCACTTGATATTTGATTTCTCATAAAAATACAGCTCGAAAACGGCTCTTAGAAATGATGTCTAAGACAGAGTTGTAGAAACCGAAACAGGTGTATATATACAGGAACTAACTTAAAAAATGAACGACGGTTTGCCCGTGAAGCAAACACTTGGAAGGTTGCATCTCCTAGTTCTAGCTCAACACTTCAAACCATTGCATCGGATTTTCAAAGAAACCCTTGCACCAGGGTTGAAAATTCTCTGGGGTGAATCTCTGCTTGTCTCCTCGGAGATTTATCCTGGCACCACTGGAGAGATTGTTAGACACAGCACGAGAGAGTGAGAGAGTTGACTGTTCATTGTTTGTATGTTTATACACTCACTTCCGTGAGAAAGCGCAAAAGTGCTATTGTTTATCCAAAGATTCCGGCAGAAGTTTACATGAGTGAGTGAAAACATCAACGTATACAGCCTTCTCACAGCCATATTTAACGTGGCTGTTGAAGTTTAGCCGGTAATCGATCATCACTCCCAGGCGAGCTCCCCGATACTTCAACACACGCTTTGAGGTGTGAGGCGTGCCCCTGACGGTGATATCTGCTCGCTGTACCGCTTTACAGTTACTGGCCAATAGCAGTGCCGTTTTGTGGTGGGCTATCTGCAGCTTCGCTCCTTGCATACAGTTACCAATCTTGTCGATCACCTCGGTCGCCAGCACTTCCACCTCTTCCAGCGTCTCGCCTGTTATCGTCAAGACTACGTCGTCCGCAAATCCAACGGTATCAACTCATTGGGCAGCTTCAGCGTTAGCACGCCGTTGTACATCCCGTTCCAGAGCGTTGGACCAAGGATGGAGCCTTGTGGAACTCCCGCTGTTATCCTAATCGATCTCTGTCCCATGTCTGTCTGTCGACTAAACTGAAGCAAATTTCAATAATGATGCACTGATGCACTTCCCGTATTCGCATTTCCAAAATGTGTACATTATAATTTTACCAAATTTTAAAATAATTGACTACATACTGTGAAAAATCTTTGTATGCAACAAACTAACAACCAAAGTGTTCACCGCGCACCGGGGTGATTCTCCCCGGTGAAGCAAAAGAACTCTCTACGGTGCTCTCTAGTGATCACTCATACGCTCCGGTGTGTTGGACTGGTGGAGGTGCGAACGTCAGAAACTGTATTTGTTTGCGAAATGGGAGAAGCGGTAGAAAGTGAAAACAAAATAAAAATCTCTTGGGTGAGTTTGCTTTTGTCATAGTGCGAGGTGTCTTTTCAACTCATCACCCTGCTTACACTGGGGAGAATGGCATTCCTGCCTTGCACAATCCGCCTCCAATCCAATCAGAATTATCGGGCCAACTTGCCAATCGCCTAATAACTGTTCTGACGAAAAGGATGCTGATAAAAACACTTTGAAATGCATTTTACCCGATCACTTGCACTTGCACTTGCTTTGCACTAAAGTTCTTTTGTAGAACTACACACTTAAAATACCTAATTTTACACGTGACGGAATCCATCTTTGACATAAAGGAGGAGACGTAAACAAACATGTCATGTAAAATTAAGTGCTCCGAGACTGAAAAGTTCGTTTAATTGAGCTGAATTTTGCGTCTATTATGACTCAATTTTGTGTCATAATTGACGCTCGTATATGTCAGTCTTAGAGCACCTGAATTTACATGAATTTTTCTAAGTGTGTATGTTATCGAGTGGCACATTGTTTCGGGCTAAAACGCGATGAAAAAATCAATGACAAAAAAAAATTAAGCCTAAAATTTGACACTCGGAAATTTTTCACGTCCTTGCACGCTTCGATCTCATCTTTGATTTTTTTAACAATTATTTAAATAGAAATTTGGTCTGAAATTTCAGTGTGATAGCCTGAATCAGTGATGGAAAAGTTCGCAAAAAATCACTATGACTCGCGAACTTTTCCCTTGGAGAACTTCGTGAAATATCGCGAACTTTTGCAACACTGGCCTGAATTAATGTTTATATGCATCATCCAAATTATTATGTACAGTTCTTTTTTGAAAACCTGCTTGAAATTTTAGCCTTGAAAAATCTTATAAGCTCAAAAAATTTAACGTTATGAGCAGCCTGATTTTTTTTTGAAAACGCCATTTTAATGTTTACCACCTCATTTCGGTGAAATTTCTGGGAGGTGAATTCTGAACGCGGAGCTCCTACATGATGCAAGCTCGCTAGTCTCATGCATGTCTGTAGGGCGCAATAGACTCATAAAGAGAGCGGTACCTAAGAATCGAGACATGTTAGGGCAAAAGTCTGTTCTAGATTTCAACTCAGTAGACCATGAGAAAGTTAAATATGGCCAACATATTACGCGTTTAGAATGCTTTTTGGCGGTACAGTATAAGTGGAATAAATTCATTTTATGCGATGTTATACCCCGTACAGATTATGGCTTATATCATGCAATAAAGGCTAACGGCGCCGGTGGTGTAGTGGTAAGCGTGATTACCTCTTACCCCAGCAGGCCTGGGTTCAATACCAGTCGGCGCCGTCGGGATGTTCTGAGGCATAACATCTCTGATCACGCCTTCCTTCGGATGGGAAGTAAAGCCGTTGGTCCCCGGTTCATGAGTTGATGGGTCGATAGGTAGGGTCCAGGTGTGGGAGCTGCCTTCCTTGGCACGTCGGTAGCATTGGTGCTCAGCACGGGAAACAAGATCGATGGAAAAAAAATGTAATAAAGGCTGTCTTGCAATGAGCACTCATGCATACATTGGATTTCCAGTGAAAACTAGATGTATGATTGCTTATTGCAAGACAGCCTTTATTACATGATATAAGCCATAGTCTGTACGGGGTATTAGGATCAGTAAAATGACATTGTTTGACCGTTCAGAACCACTTTTAATGATTCTAGTAGGGTGCATTGGATTGCTCCGCACCCGTAGATAATGCAACTTCCGGGTTTTGACTGCGTTTAGAATGATTTTTGGGGTTGATGCATATGTTATGTCACGCTTTAAGGAGGGGGGGAGGGGGTCTATCTGAGTAGCACACTTTCATCACAATTACTTACAGCAACTTGTTTATGACTGAAATAAGTCGTATATAAGTTTCTACAATTGATTTGTGACAAGCGTGCTACTAGGGTAAGATTTTGTGACAAGCAATGCATTAGGTATAGGAAAAACGTCACGATAGGAGGGGGGGATTAAATTCTCCTCGATTTAGCGTGACATAATTAATGAATGGGCCCTTAGGAATTCTCAGAATTAAACATCCAAAAAAGTTCATTTTCTAGATCACCTCAATAAAGAAATGGTCACCCTAATGACAAAATAAAAAAAATATTGGTCTAATATTTTGCGATAAGGAACAAAACTACCAATTTTTACGAAATTGTGAGAACCACTATAGCGTTTTGCTATGGAATAGCTGCATATTAATATTTTTTTCTAAGATACTACATCGTTCAACATCATTCACAACGCAAATAATTTGGCTCTGACATTTCAAATATGTCACATAAATTAGAAAGTAAAAGTGGATCCATTCCATCAACCCGGACAGATGTTTGCAATTGCTAGCCGCCAGTATCAGTCCACCAATCTGAGTTGATGCCACCAGCATAGATAATTCCTGCTACTGTTTTCTTTATCTATTCACTTCCCTTGTACAAACTGGCAAAAGTAGCTCCAGACAACAAAGCAAAATATTATCAAACTAAACACAGAAGTCTCTCTTTGAACTTTTTGTTTCCCTTCTATCCATCAAGCCCGCACCCAGCTTTCCAGCGACTGTCGAAATGATGAACTACCCGACTGAAGTGCGTTGTTTCCCTCTTCTTTCGGTGGATCTACGTACACACGTATGCGTGTATGTGGGGTGTCATGTTTGTTCATCCAGCATTCAAATTATTTACCCCGCTTGTGAAACGAGAAATGAAAAAAAAAAAGAAAAATGCCAACAACACTCACCTCCCAAAAGTCTCGCCAGATATGTTGATCCACTTCACTCTCCTCGTCACTCGGATTCGAGTTTAACACTGACTCTTCCCTCTATCGCTTCTTGCTTGGGGTCTTGGGAGGTTCCGAAGCCACTTGAAAGTGTGACTTTAAAAAAAAAAAACTACTGCAACAAAGAATCACACTGTTGTTTCGATTTCGGGCTGAGGGCTCTTCTTCTTGATACACACGCGCCTCGAGTTGAGTTTTCGGGAAATTTTCGAATCTTCTTGAATTCCACTTCGGACTTGCTCTCTATCCCTGTTTATGGCTCAATCTTAATGTCACACACGCACTCGTCGTGATATTATGCGCGCCCTCGAAGGATGAAAAGTTTGAACTGCTGCAACGTACAATGTACCTCGTTTTAGTGTAAATGTTTCACTGAACTTCACTCGTTAAAAGTCACTCTCTCACACAACTGGACGGCGTTGTCGTGGTCGGTGTGAAGAGGTTCGAGGCAAGAAATATTACACGCAGGAAGATATCGCTCCTTTTTGGAGGCTGGGGCACTTGAGATTATTTATAACACAAACATATGTCGGTACATCCACTCTCGATCGAGTCGAGTAAGCCCCGTCTAGAAGATCCACAGGAAAGGTCACTCCGAGTCGAGACCGTAGTGAAGTGGCTGACTTTTTGCGCATATTTTCATCATTTCGCTGTGGACGTGAGCTGATTGTCGAACGAGAGCAATGTGCGCGCGGGTATGATCTTGTTTTTTTCGTTGTTGGATCTTCGCTCGTTGTTGAATGTCTTCTCCGAAGCAGATGCGGAGCAAGGAATTTTGCACGAAAAGATCACACCGACCCGCTATCGCAAAGGTCAGGAACAACCACGTAATCACTGTCGGAGGCTCTCTTGAGGCAGGACCTCCACGGGCCAAAAAGGAAAACAAAAAAAAAAAGAGTCAACGATCACTTCGGCCTGGTTTTCCTTCGAACGCGGAGGATCGACAGAGAATGGCAATGTTTTTACCTTCCCTAAAGGCCAAATACCCGAGAGCGCGGATCTTCAGTTTTTGCACTCGTTCCCGTCCTATTACCGAGCGTTTCCTCCACCGGGACGGCGTCTCACTAATTAGCATAAACCGGGGGCCCTGATGGTCCGTCCAATATTTTTTAATAATTTAATCCGAACCCGATCGGATTGGTGCAGGAAAAAAAAAACTCACTTCACGTTTCGTCCGGGGTCCGGTTTTGCGTTCAATTAATCGCAAATGACTTCACTTCTCTCAATTCACGCAACCGACGGCGGTGGCGACCGTGGGACACTTGATTTTTTTTCCACCGCACTTCCTAGGGGGACCTTGAAGAGATCTGGCCCGCTTGCTACAGTTTCACTTTCTTCTCTCACACGCCGACGATGACGACGACGACGACGGTGACAATTAGCCCGCAAAACTCACATACGCTTATAATACCGACGGTGGTTGGATGGACCGACCGGTAATCATTTGTCATTATCTTTAATCGTGCGCTAAGTTGACTCTTTTTTTTTTCGCCCGCTGCTGTCACTACACACTAGAGCACATAACAACACCCAGCACTTTCTTGAGCCGTTGCTTCTTCAGGTATGTTTTTTTCTCTGGCTCCCGCGTGCGTGATGACGATGATCCTCCTACTGGTTACGGCGAGTTTGTTGCGTTATCGAGATCACTCTCGACTGGTGATGGCAGTTTTAATGATTCGATGGGCTAATTAGTCTCCTAATGGCAGCTGGTTGGCACACACTTGTGGTCACTTGCACTTTCGACTACGACGACGGTTGTCACTTGCCTGGTCACTCTTGAGATTGTAATCTTGGTTCTCGGCGATGGGGTGACATTGAGCGGTAGTCTCGAGGAGGTTCGTCGCTTGAAAGGCGTTGATGTTACTCGTACTGTTTCTGGTGGCTTTACTGCGCGGTTTGGACACCTTGGCGAGTTGGGATTGTCTAGGAAAAATGGGAGGGAGGGTTTAGGAAAATATTCATTCTAGAAATCAAACAGTGGGGACGGTATAAATTTGATAGTTTCGTAGCCTTTGGAGCGGTGTTTGTACTACGAAGTTTGTGATTATCATTATACGTAGTGTACTGGATAACACGGCAGAACTTATGAAAGTATTACTTTGTTGATTTATTCTTAAATAACGTTCAATGTTATTTGATTGAACTTATTGTCCCTTGGGTTATTCTCATCGGAAAATAATATGCATTGAATTATCGCAGATATGCATTTGGCTTGTGAACCGAATATCAGAGTCAAGTATCATGAACAGTTTGACCGCTCACACTTAGAAATAACGAATTTTACACGAGATGTATTCCATTTTTGACGTAAATCATGTAACGTAAACAAACAAAAGTGCGTTAGATCGAATTTTCAACTGATTAATATGCCAAAAACGCCGCTTGCATGTGGTGGTCTCAGAGAACCTAAATAAACGTTTTTCATAGTGTGCTGCCCATTCCATGCAGTTTCCAACGAGTTGCCAGTTTATAGTAATTTTTTTCTCTTAATGAACACAATTCATTTAATTTAACTTTAAATCTTTCATAGGGAATACTTCTCAGAACACATCCTTTGATAGACGGCTATTATAGAGGTCATAAACCTGATATTAGCCTATATCAGCTTCTTTTTCTTAACCAAAATACCGATTATAAGGCTTATTTGCACACTATGAAAAAGACATGTACATTTCAATGCCCTGAGACCGACACATGCAAGCAGCCCTTTTGACATAAGAATCAGTTGAAAAGGACGAGAAAATCAATTCAATCAAACGCACTTTTCGTCGAGTTGCATATGTTTCAGTTTCAGGACACTTATTTTTACATGCCATGTTTGTTTACGTTCCATGATTAACGTCAAAGCTGAATTACGTCTCGTGTAAAAATAATAATTTCTAAGTGTGTGGCTATTTGGGTTACTGAATATTCAATCATTTTTTTTTGTAATTCAAAGCAACAGCACACATTAAAGAAATTGTATTGCTCCCTAGTAGCCTTCATTAGCAACTGACCATACACACTTAAAAATTACTAATTTTACTCGAGACTTAAACCATATTAGACATGAATCATGGAACTTAAAAAAAAATTTCATGTAAAATTAAGCGATCTCAAACCATAAGCATGTCGACGAAGAGCACGTTTGATTGAATTGATTTTCTCGTTTCTTTCCACTGATTCTTATGTAAAAAGAGCCATTTCCATGTGTCAGTTTCAGGGAACCGAAATTTACATGACTTTTTTCGTAGTGTAAGTTTTCTGTTGTTGAAGAGAAGTTTATATTGAATTTTATAAATCATTATTTAGGCTACACAGTAAAAAATAAATTTTAATATTACATCCAAGAGGATGCACTTCAGTCATATCGAAAATCTCAAATAATTTTTATGGTTGCACAAATAAACAAATGCAGTAAAAACAACGTAATTTCAGTTCATACACTGTATTAATGATAATTGTACCTTTTTTTGCAAGTAATATTACAACATTTTTTCGACACAATTGAAGTGCATCCACTTTGATGTGATATTAAAATTATTTTTTGTTGTGTATGATTCAAACACAATTATAATAATGAACTCGTTTGCCTATCCATGTGGCTGAAGTTGGGGAAACACTGATAGAGTACACACTTAGAAATACCTACTCTTACACGTGACGAAAACCATCATTGACATAAAGGATGAGACGTAAACAAACATGTCATGTAAAATTAAGTGCTCCGAGACTGAAACGTTCGAAAGTACGTTTGATTGAGCTGAATTTCACGTCTATTATGACTCAATTTAATGTCAAAATTGATGCTCGTATATGTCAGTCTCAGAGCACCTAAATGAACATCGATTTTTCTTATTGTGTACATAAGCAATCATCTTTCTTTTTTACCCTCTTTGTTCGGGTCATAATAAATGCGACTATTCCATTGATCTTCTGTGTTTTGTCCGTGTCTTTGGTTTAGTGTGTGTCGTAGTACCTCATTTCTATGAAAAAAAAAAATTAAGTTTTCATCTTTGTTACAGATATTCTGCATATTTTCTATTGTCACAAGAAGCAGCACTCAATTCAAACTAAAAAATACTGAAAATTACATCCGATTTAATCTGTTACAAACGATAAAAAAAAAGATGCATGTAATTTCTCAGCGTTTGGTGTGTTAGTGCTTCACAGAAGGAAATTTTCAAGCTTTTCATGTAAGTTTACATGCTTGTTGTGTACACTTACAGAATGGTCATATACATCGTGTAAACTTCGATGTTTTTGATGATTTGATGATTCGTAAATCAACAGGAGAAGACGTTTAATTCTACATAATTTAATGTAGATTTACACGTTTTCTGCTGCTTATTTAAATGTTTTAACATTGGAAAAAAGTTTACATGAATAAAATGGAATTTCACAACACTATTTTTGCTACGTGTGAAATTCTGCATCGTTCGAAGAGTTCTGAGACCTCTCCAAGTACGTGCCTTATCATCAACGAAAATAGGTGTTCTTAGTGCCAAAATAACCAATGATACTGATACTTGACCATACATGCACACTTAGAAATACCCAGGCATGGACAATCATTTGCATTCATTTCGTGCATTCATTAACATTCATTTGCCTCTAACTTTTTTCTTCAACAGCATTCCGCAAAATAATGTACAGAGTTTTTGTAGGTTTTGTTATTAACTACAACTTTTGTTAGCAAGTCAAATCCGTATCGCTTATGCATGACGAAGCAGAGTGAACAGAAGCCACTACTGTTTTTCAGTGAATGTATTGTACATTCACTGAAAAACAGTAACAAGTTATACCCACTCTAAGATGCATAAGAGTTACAGATTTGAGTTCTGAGCAAAACTTGTAGTTAATAACAAAACCTACAAAAGCTCTATACATCATTTTGCCGAATGCTGTTGATGAAAAAAGTTAGAGGCAAATGAATGTAAATGATTTTCCATGCCTGGAAATACCTAATCTTACACGTGACGGAATCCATCTTTGACATAAAAGATGAGATGTAAACAAACATGTCATGTACTCCGAGACTGAAAAATTCGAAAGTACGTTTGATTGAGCTGAACGACTCAATTTTATGTCAGAATTGACGCTCTTATATGTCAGTCTCAGAGCATCTAAATTTACATGGTGTTTTCTAAGTGTGTGGTTAATTCTCCTTTACTTGATCCCTCCCTAACTCAGACGAAAATCCAGACTGCTTCGGCCACACGAATTTCGAAATTTTCTGGATGCACAACTGAAACTGTTCAAACGTAACGCTGCTCTCAAGAGGTATTCATCCGCTCCACGCAAATCGCAACCCTTATATCCTCCATCACTCGATATCATCTCTCACTCTAAGGTCATTGCAATTTCGAGTTAGGAAAACTTGACTGTATAGCAACTTATGTATAATAAATTTCTCGGGTTACTAAATACTGGATCGAATGGTTAAAAATGTCCTTAAAATTCGGTTAGTCACTTCCTAAGTCACACTTTTCGTTTTATGAGTGTCCAGTAGACCATTATTTAGACATGCAGAAACCACGATAAAACATGCAATCTTACTTGGGATATGAATTCTCTTATGAGACTGCTGCCTGGGGCATAGGCATAACTAGGATGTTGAGCTAGGGGGAGCCACACACTTAGAAAAAATCTTTAAATTTAGGTACTCTGAGAGTGACATATACGAGCGTCAATTTTGACATAAATTTGAGTCATAACTGACGCGAAATATAGATCATTCAAACGTACTTTTCATCGAGCAACGAACTTTTCAGTCTCGGAGCACTTAATATTAGATGACATCTTTGTTTACGTCTCATCTTTTATGTCAAAGACGGATTCCGTCACGTGTAAAATTAGTTATTTCTAAGTGTGCATGGTCCTTGCTGACAAGATTTAAAACCATCAGTAGTATGGGGGAATCGATAAAATGACTTTACCTCTACATTTTACAATTACATGGTGGCGAAGGAATTCTCTTATGAGACTGATGTCACTCTTTTAGATTTTTTAAACCGAGTTTTTACAGAATTTCAGGGACCTTCTTCTTCTTGATTTTGTTTTCCATCGATCTTGTTTTCCATGCTGAGCACCAGAGTTACTTCCACTCACTTGCTATAAAAAAATGTTTTTCGGAATTATGAAATCATTAGTTGTTACTATAGTACTTGAAGGTTTAAAGAAAAGGTCGTGAAGTATGTATTTGACACATAAAACCTGTCAATATTGCTTTCAGTGCGTCACAAACAGCGTTTTTACGATTCGTGAGCTCTCACTCTGAGTGAACGCTCACGAATCATAAGATCGCTGATTGTGACGCTCTGAAAGCGAAATTGACAGGTTTTATGAGTCATACACACACTTTTCACCTGCTTCTTGCTACTTGCAAGTACAACATATCATTATATCATCAAATGATTTCATTATTCCAGAAAACAATTTTTTATAGCAAGTGAGTGGAAGCAACCCTGCTGAGCATTAATGCTACCGACGCGATGCCAGGGAGGCAGCTCTCACACCTGGCATGAACTCAAACTCATAAACCAACGGCTTTAATTCTCTTCCGTGGAAGGAAGGCGTGATCAGAAATGTTATGCCTCAGAACATCCCGGTGGCACCGACTGGGATTGAACTCAGACCTTCTGGGGTGAGAGGTAATCACGCCTACCACTGCACCACCGGCGACCTTCTAAGAAATCAATGAAAATTCTTAGAAGCTGTGACTTAAGAGATTGATTTCAGGGACCTTCGTAGATTGATGGGAAACTTTTGTAACGTTTCGGGAATGTTATATAGCTTCAAGAAACCTCACAAAGCTTCTGAAATTTCACATTGGAAAACTTTTTCGAACAACAGGAACTGCGTAGAAGTTCAGGATATTTTCTAGAAGTGCAACAATTTTCTTAGGAATCAAGCTATTATTGCAAAATATCAAAGAAATCCAG